TTATGAATTATTTTACATTTGCTTTATTTTGCTAATTAAATGATTGCTCTTAGAAATTAAACAAACTTAGTTCAGTATTGAAAATTGTTTTTGTTAATTTAAGAATGATTGTTTTAAGTGTTCCTATCCACTCCTCCTAGATTTGGCATTTTGGGCGTGCTGGATAACTATTCAGTTTCTTCCGGCTCTCCCTACGTTCTTTTCCCAGGACTCTTTTCTTTTGGGGAAAGCCTGTCAGGGCCGCAATTTGGCGCCCTGATTTATGACTTTGTCTATTGTTAGCTCACCTCCTCAGCCACCCACAAGCGCCACCCACTTCATTCCGCCATCATTAGTTTGTGTTTTAGTTTCATTTCCAATCCGAATTTCATTTCATTTTGCGCTTAAATTTTGTTTTGTCCTCTTTGATTGTGTTTATTTTGCACTCCCTCCTCATTTTTCGGGGGCTTTTCTTGGTTGGTTCGTTTTAGTGGAATTACTTGCTCCATAAAAGATGAGTCTGGGATTCGTTTTTGGACGCCAGGGAGAAGGCGTGGCACTGCGCCACCAACGCCTTTTCTTTTGGCAGGTGAGGGCCTGCGATTCGGCGAAGAAAATAGATTTTTTTCCCAACCACTTCTCACGTTGCATTTTTCACTTTGGGTGGTAGTTTTTTCCACATTTATTTACTTGGCTATCGGTCAGCTATCAGTTATGCGAATAAATGCTTTAACTAAATTGGTTGATTGGTTTATTTATCGTTACTTAAAGTATTTAGTTTTAAATAACATTATTGGTGCCACAACATCATTTCAATTAACCTTTGAATTCAAAAGCTGTGTGGGTGAAAAGGTTTTTTGATATTTTTTCAGCGTGTCTTTTTTGTATTAGCTATTATTTCGTTTATTAAAAAAGTGTATTTATAAAATTTAATTACAAAAGTAACATGTATATTAGCTTAACAAAATAATTATAACAATTTCAACACTTAGCGGAAAACATGATTTTGGAAAAATTACTTGGTAGGAAAATGTTTATTAACTACCTAAGCTAATGATCAGCTCCAGCTTTCTTTCTTTTCTATGAAATTTCTTCATTTTCTACTATAGTACTTATTTATTATCCCTTTTCCACCATTTTCCTGGTGCCTGGCAGTTCCTGGGTGAAATTTATGTAATTTATATGGGCACTTGACTGTCTAAATTGCCGGCAGAACTGGGCCCCACCACTGAAGAAAAAAAAACCCCCTGAATAATACCGCTTTTCCACCCATTTTAGCCCACCATCCCCCTCCTTCCACTCGTTTTTCCCACCGAGCACGCTTTTCTGCCACTTTTTATATCATCTACTTAGCCTTAATGGCAAATAATTAATTTTCAGCTTCCGCGAAGTCAGTTCTAGCCTGCCACGCCCACTGCCGCCCACCGCCCAACGCCCACGTAGTAAATGGCCGCATGGAACTGCAATTTCGCCCCCGTTTTCAAGCCCCTGAAACGACCATTTTCAATTTACAAATTGCTTATTTTTCGAAAACCAAATTGCGAGTGCCTCGGACTTTTGCCAGGAGTGAAAACCCTTAGCTGTAACCGGATCCGGATCCGGATCCTGATCCAGAAGCAGCAAGTTATTGCATTTTACGTGCGGCCAGTTGGGTGGCCAAAAATGGGAGGTGGGAAATTGGTGGAGGGGAAAATGTGCAGCGGCGAAGGCTTCTCAATTACGTTTATAAATTTTCCAAGCCAAAATGGCGCAGCCTCCGAAAATGAATAGCCTTCTGAAAGCGCGAAATGGGGAGACGAGCTGGAAGGCATCAGGGGCGTAAAAAGGGTTTTTTTTTGGGGCGTTACATTCATTAGATTATAAAATTAATTAATAAATAGTAAGGATATTAACATTGATTGAAATGGATTTGATTCTAGTCGGTTTTTTCATAAAGAAAAATAATTTAAAAAATTACCTTTCAAAACAGATCCCAAGATTAATTTAGAAATACTAAAGATATTAACCAACCTAAAATTACATTTAGTTAAAAAAGGTTACTAGGAAAATTAAATGTATTTAAAGATATAATTGTAACAAAAAAATAAATAAATCTTTAGTTACCACTTATTAAATAACTTTTTTTTTTAAGATTTAAAATTTTTCTAAAATCCCTTTCTTATTTTTAATACGCCTTTGGCATCACAAGAACACTAGTCTCTCGAGAAACCCCACCAAAAAATCAACCGAACTCTACCCTTTCCGTTGACCGAAATTTTATTAACTTCTTTTCGGCCAAATTGCATTGCGGTTTATTTGAAGGCCACTTCTCGTTCTCAAAAACCATCCCCTAACCACTTAGTCCTCAACCTCCCGACCCCTTCATCACCTAACTCCCGAAAACGATTCCCGTTTATTTATGATGCGACATTTCAACTCGCATTCGTAGGCATAAAAAGAGCCCCGACAATTTATTGCCGCCATCAAAAATTATTTTGGGCACCTAAGAAAATAATCATAATATTGTAAATTTTAATATCTTATTTTATTTTAAAAATAGTGCCTTTATACCTTGCAATTGATAAAAAATTCAGTTGATTTAGCTAAAAATTATTGTACATATTATTTTTAATGATGTTGAGTCTTTTCAATGGCGATATATTGTATTAACAATAATTTCTGCATGTACTAAATTTTAATTTTTAAATAAAAAACAATGTTAAACTTATCACATTGTTTAACATACTATTGGTTGTTTTTCTCCAGTGTACATTTATTTGGTCTGACCAATGGAGTGGGAAAAAGGCTGGAGCCACGCCCACCGCCTTACCAAATGGCCAAGACTCCATCGTTGCCCTTTTCGGTTTTATGGCCTACGCATCATTTGGCTAAAAGAAGAAACAGCTAAAACCGAGCTCCAGGAGAATCCATTTAGTGGATGTCTTAGGCTACAATTTGGGAATAAAAATGGGGAATGGTAATCGTTCTATGAAATGCCTAAATAAAATAAATGGCTAAACAGAATTAGAGTGAAAGGAGCTGCGACCCAGAAGGACATGGAATGAAGCCTATTGAAAGTTATTTTTTCGGAAATGCAGAAGGACAAGTGGATGTGTGTGGTATCGCATTTATGATATTTTATTTATAATACGGCTGTAGATAAGTGGCGAATTTCGTATTTACGACTGGTATTATTTGTATTTGTTTTTATTACTTCTCCTTGCCAAAGATATATTAGTCGCATCATGTTATTGATAAGGTCATTGAAATGAATAGAATACCCTTTTTATACTTATCGGTTTTTGTCCTAAATTCTTTATAAATTTGCCTATTAAAAATTGAGCAGGATTTTGGAAGTATATCTATCTGAAATCTTTGGTCACTAAAAAAAATATCAGTTGTGTGTTAAATAAAGGGATCTTATAAAATAATATAACATTTCCAAAAATCCATTTGATATCTTGAAAAGAACATAGTACCTTTAATAAATTAATTTGCAATAAAGATGGTATTTATCTTCTCGAATTTCCAATCTGAAAAAATTGTATAAGTAAATTTAATTTATTTGAAACAATTTTTGAATAAAATAGATCCTTGATAGTTCCGTATAAATTGCTATTAATCATCATTTTCTCTCCCATTCTGCAGATTTTTCTGTCTCCTTTCCCCGCAGAAGCCAACGAAATCAATTAAAAGCGCAATTAATTTGTTTGACAGCTGAAGAAAACAGACGCCAAGCTTTTGGCTTAATGTCGAGTGGGTGTGTAAAGGGGGGAGGTGAAATGAAGTGGGTGGCGGAGAAAGGTGAAGTCTGACTTTTTTATTCTCTCGTTCGTCTGACTCTGTCGGAATAATAAAAGTAATTTAATTTTAATGAAATTGTTAATACGAAAACAATTTCATTTTGCAAAAAGTTTTGCCTGGGAGAGAGGGAGTGAGAGAGTCAAATTGCTCGTGACAATGAGCGAAAGAGAAAACAACAAACAAACAAATAAGCAGGAGTGTGGGTAAAAGAGAAAGCCAAACCAGCAAAAACAAGAGAAAAGCAAAAACAGAAATGCCGTCGCAAAGCCAAAAAAGAAAAGCACTCCACCAGAGAAAGAGACAGAGAGAAGGAAAAGGCAGAAAGGGGAATGCGAGAAATGAAATGCTGATGCGAAGATTTAATAAATGAAATTGGTGTGTGATTAAAAACACAAAAACCAAACGAAATCCATCTAATCAACTTTTGCTGCCGCCTCACATTTCCCCCACTTTCCCCTCCCCAAATTCTCGGCCCACCTTCTTCTGTCCTTTCTCCCAGTCGCCATCTCTCTCTTCCTCGCTGCGACGTCGACTGCGGCAGCAAAAGAGGTGTGGGTAAACGGGAGAGGGGGTGGGAAAATACTGGGGGTGGGCGCTCTCAAGTTTGAAACGCCTTCTTAAGGGAAAAATTGAAAAGATCCTTGGTATTTAATATATTTAAAAAAATTCTTTTAAAAAATCATACATTTTTTAAGTATTATTGTTCCAAGCTTGATTCTTTAAATAAATGTTAATTTGTATTTATTCAACTCGCTTTTTGATCTTTTCATTCTAAGATATTTTCTTGAATTCTTGAAAAAGAAAAGCTTTAATATTTATTATAAATATTTAATTTTAAGTAATGATCATTAGTAAAAAAAATATTTTTAATTTACAGATTTGTAACCACAAAAATGCATTATCTTAACTATTTTACTAACTTATCTTATATCCTTAAACGGCGTTAAAATTTCCCAGTAATAAATTTCCTTTTGGGTAGTTTGCTCTTCCTAGACTCCGCCCCCATTAATAAGCAGAAAATGGCTGGAATATGATATAAATGCGTATAAAAACAAAGCCACGCCCATTCAAATCTAGTTCCAAACACAGCCGTCACAATGAAAATTGGCGCTAAGCAAAATTTTTTGGTAGTTCTAAAACCAAACACACTTTACATAACTAAAATAGCGCTGTATGCATTTAGTTCCAAATGTAAACACGAAATGCGTCAGTAATTTTAAGACATGTTTTTAAGTTTTATTATTTATTAATTTAAATTATAAAGTTAAGTATACAATATTTATAATTATTCATGTTCAACCATATAATGTTTGCAGTTTCAACCATCATCTTGTATTTTGTTTTACATTTTGCACTGTGATATAGAAAATAAGTTTTTATCGTTCTTCCTTAATTTTTAATCCAAATTTGTATGATTTGAACCTGGGAAATGTGTGAACAGATGGTGTGTAAACAGATAAAAATGCAATAATGAATACACTATACCTATTAATACCTATAGGTATATATGTATATATATCTTGCTGGACATTGAAAATGTATAAACGCAAATGTATTTTCCGTATCGAGAGAATAACCAAACGAGAACATTTATAAAAACTTTTTATATATATTGGATACTCCATTAAAAGTGATTTTTTAAAATTTTTTTTTTGTGTTACTAAATTGCAATATCTGCCTGGCAAATGAAATATTTTTTGAAAGTACAATTGTTCACCCGCATCAGGCCTTCATCAATTGCAACGCAGGCCTCACTGTCGTTTTGGTAAAAGGGTTCATCCTGATCCCACTTAAAAAACGAAGATTGTTTGCCGGAGGCCACAGATACAAAATCGCCTCTTTTGGTCCTGTCGTTGATGCCCAAAAAATATGGCTCCGAATTCTCGAGTTTGGACACAATGGCGTTGAACTCCTCTTCGTTTTGAATAGAGGCTAGATGTCCGCCCTTTTGAAGACAGAAGTCCTCAGCATCAGTCCAATTTAGCTTAACATCTTGTACAATGTAGAAGAATCTTGAACCGATCTTTTCGAAGTTCGATGGAATACACTTAACACTAGTCTCCTCCGTTTTAATTAAGCCATGCTGCAATTTGCTTAGAACCGCAGTAAGCTCAATTTGCATCCGTTCTAATCTCGCATCGATGCTTTTCTGCTGACTTTCTTGGGTTTTATTCAAGGTAAGCTCGAACTTAGCCATGTGATGGTAGAGTGGACCTAATGCTGAAAGGCAAAACGATCCGCATTGGTTGGGTGCGTCCTTAAGGAGGCAAACAGATCCCGAACTTTCCTGTGATTTCGCTGGGGATCCATAAACTTTCAGGGCACAAAACGCACACAATATAAAAGTGACCAACTTGAGCATACTGCTGGTAAATCTGCACCAATCCAAATGAAAATCTTAAGGGAACTGATTCTGGTGTCGCTCGCTGAGTTGTGAAAATATTTTCGCGTGGTTAATTTAAATTATTGGCATTAATTGCCCAATGGCCATACTGTACAGTCACAAAAATAGTTTTTGATATAATATATAAATCATTTTTAAGATCAAATTTTAAATATATTTTATTTTTGTGCACAATTTGTACAATCTAAACGTGAATGTGTTAAACTTCAAAAATGAAAATATAGTACTGATTGTCATAAGCTAGTTCTTTGATAAATGTTTTTACATTTATGAAAAATATCCTTACCAAACCTTTCGAATGAAAATTAATACAATTTGAAAAACAAAAAGAAAACATATTTTTTCTCTGTGCCGACAAATAACCTTCAATTACCCTTGGCTTTATGCAGTTTCAATACTAAATATTTTGGCATGATGTCCCAGAAATTGATTATTTTAGATATCATCACATATTTCTTAGCATAACTGTTAATATATACTTTCGTGCATTTTATTTTATATTTTTAATTTGCTCTTAACTCTATGTAGTTTTCTTGAAAAAAAACCTTACGTTTTGCTTGCTTAAAATTGTGTTACTGCCTTATTTTTGTTGTAAATATTAAAACAGAACTCTTTTCTAAAGGAACTTATTTGTAACTTATATTTTTAACTCGTATTCGTGTACCCTCATCTTATTAATAAAATTTTGATTACCAAAAACATCCGTCAATAGCAGTTTATATAACGAAATGAAATGAAATGATAACAGATCTTGACCCACTTGCAAGATGACAAAATGCTCAGGTATTATGCGAATCCGCCGTGATTGATACAACCGATTTGTTTCAGCTGATCTGAGAGAATTTTTAGCAAAGCAAAAAAAATTAAAAGCTGTTTTAATTTGAAATATAAGTTTGTATTAACTTGTTACAAGCCATCTGAGAGACTTAAAACTTAAAACTTTTTTAAATAATATGCTTTTAAATAAAACGTCGTCGCCATTTGTAATATTTATTGCAAGTACAGAAGTTATAGACAGTAAAAAACTGTGTGAGGTAAGTAAGGAGTAAGATGATTAGTCTTTTATACAATAAATTAAATATGTAAGACTTTAGTTTTACCAATTTATGCATTCTGCTGCAGTCAAAGAACCCGAATTTCTAGAGAGAGTGAGTGCCAATCAGCACAAGACAGTATTTTAATTAACAAAAATGGGGTGCCCGAAATGCCTTTATAAGCCGAAGAATCAGTTGCTTCCAGACATATGTCTGGATTGGTCTTTCCCTCGCAGTATGCTCAAGTCGACCATTTTTATATTGTGCGGGATTGTTGCTCTGGATCCCCAAAAAATCCATTTGCCTGTTATAAGATGCCTCTCAACACTGCGGAGCTTTTTGCCTTTCAGTATTAAGTCCACAGTACAATCAAATGGCTAATTTCAAGGTAAGTCTAGCTGAAATCAACTTAAAACTAACAGTTCTAGAAAGTAACCTTCAATATGTGCAGATCATGAAGGATACGCAACAAAAAGCCATTCCGGAGTCAAATAAAACGATGGAGAATAAAAAGATGGAAAATCGACCGGAAAATTTTGACGAAAAATTAGGCAGACTTATTTCCCAGATTGAAGGCCAACTGAAAGATGTTGACGCAAGATTTGACAGTGTGCAAGACCAACTGAAAGTGGTGCATACTAAATTGGAATATGCCATAAACACAACAAGCGCTACAACTTCAAAGTTCGAACTGATAGGCTCAAGGTATTTTTACATTGAACATGATATTAGTCAAAATTGGACAACTGCTGCCATTACCTGTCGCCAAATCGGTGGCCATCTGGCCTCGTTTAAGGACCAAGAGGAGCTAGACGCTATTGCCATGAAACTCTATTCACGTCATGGCTGTTGGCTAGGCGTTAACGATCACACAAAAAACGACACCTTTGTATCTTTGTCCTCCGGTAGTCCAGCGTTTTTGAAGTGGGAATACCTAGAACCCTATCGCACGAATGATAATCCACACTGCGTTGACCTAGTAGGCGGAAGAAATGTTTTTAGGATGGTGCCGTGTAGGATTGAAATGAACTTTATTTGCCAAGCTGATGACAAAGTTTAACAAAAATTTTAAACATAATCGCAGAAATGTATTATTTTTGAATGTGTATTTGAATAGAATTGCATATTTTTAAATCTTGTTTTGATATGTCATACTGAAAATATTTTCAGTAAATAAACTCTTCTATGCAACGCTTCCTGAAATATATACATTGCATACTTTTAAAATTATTTTGTGAACTCACAAGATCACAATCTTTGTCAAGCACTTCTTTTTTTATATATTTATAAAAATTTAATTTGTGTATTTATATTATTCAAAGGAATTAAGTAGTTGATATCATTTGTTCATTTAGAACTACTAGAAACTTGTTTTATACTGTTTGTGTCGTCCAGTGCGCGGCTTGCTGATTTTTAAGAAAATCATTAATCGAAAAAAAGCCAAACACTTTGTAGACGCGTGAATTAGCTGGCCAACATCTCTAGTTTGGGAAATCTTCACTTTCAGCGTTGCTTTATTCCGTTTATAACTTACACGCGGCGTATACGCAATTACTTTCATTACGTATACGACTGGACAGCTTTGTATTATGAATGAAAGGATACTTATTTAGTCAAATGTTTAATAATGTTTTGCCACAAAATTTAATATGAGAAGTTTTGCTGAAGAGATGATTTTTTATACCAAAACTTTTTGTTTTAATCACAGTTGAAGAACACCAATGCCATGGCCAGGATTCGTTCCCACATGACTTGGCTTTAAAAAAAAATCAGAGCACACATCTTTTTCACTGTAGCTAAAACGATGCTACAGGCATAAAGCTTAAAAAAATTTTGATAAGTTAATTTACTTAGTAAAATTTTGAATAATTTTTAGTTTGATAACATTTTTGTATGTTCAAAGTGCAATCTTCATTACATTTTTCCTTCTGGTGCGCATTGTCACTACATGTGCTACCGCTTAATTTATTGGCACCATATGTTATATAGTTACCAAATGCTTTATTTGTGTGCGGTCCTACTTAGTGGAGTCTGACTGTAGAATCACGAACTACCTGCTGCTGATTACGGTTCATCTGGTGGCTCTCTCTCTTTCTTTCTCTCGTCTTCTGTGGGCCCCTCTCTATATGACTTTGGCTCTCTCTCTCTCTCTCTTCAAAATGTGGCTCCACTGACTTTTCTTGCTGCGCCAAGTGCTCAGATTGCTTTGGCCTCTCTCGGTCTTCACATCGCCATTCGAATCGGTGGTGTTTTTAAAACGACGCGTGTTTTTGTGTGTGCTTCTCGGTTAGTTTTTGCTGCTTTTCAGCTAGTCGTACGATCTAGCGTTTGTGCTCAATTCTGAATTCTAAAAGCAACAACAAGCATTTTTCCATATGTGCAACTATTTGCCTTAGAAAGTAATTAAACGAAAGGCATTGTTTCAAATTGACTGAATGTCGTGAAAACGTGAATTGTGAATGCAGTTTTAGTGAAATGTATTGAAAGTGGAGAGTGAAAGGAGAGAGGGAATTATTCCAAAGAGATCTGGTTCTAGTGGAAAACTTATAAACTAAAATGTGGCCTGCAATTAAATGCATGGAAAATCACTTGCTTGCATGACGCACGTTTGTGTTGGATTTCCCTGTAAAAATGACACAAACTGGACATTTTCCAAGACATCAATCAAAGCTTCCATTGCATTTTTCCACTCTCTCTTTCTTCCTTTCTCGCTCTCTTTGAATTGCATTTTGCGACGCATTTCCTTCTTTCGCTATTCTTCTGACTTGCTTTTCTTTAATATATTTTAATAGAATTATTACTTGTTGTTGTAACTACTACTCTTCTTATTCTTCTGTTAGTTACTCTTTGTTTTTGGTGCTCGCCATATACAATTTTTTCCAATTTGTGCGCGTTGCCGCCTTCGCTTTTTTATATTTTTTTCCTGCCGCCGCTGCTGTTTTTCTGTTTTCTGTCTCGCCGCCGCGCTTCTATTTTTAGCAACAAGTATTGCTGTTGTTGTTGCTGCTCAAGTTAACTACGCTACGCTGGCAGAAAACAACAACAAGCCAAACTATGCGGAGCGAGAGAGCAAGTTAAAAACAAAAGAGGAATAAGGAGAGAGTAGTTTGCGAGAGATAGTCACAGAGAGAGAGAGTAAAACATACAGTAAAGCTTGGGAGAAAAGATAAAGGAAGGGACTGTGATCGTAGATCTGTAAATAATAAAAAAATGTTCAAATCTTGTTACTTAAGACTGTGAAAATTAAATTTAAATACTTGAAATATATTTTGGTTATTTATTGGGTATGTTTTTCCCAATTTGTGCTTCTTAAAAAAAAGTTGTAAAAGTTGGTTGACTACGCGGGCAGTTCCCACTGTACTTGACTCAGGTGATAACAATAACACCGAAAAGTGAGAGATAAAGAGAGATTTTGGGGTCGCTCTCCCGGTGACTTTCTCCTCGTTCCCTCCTTCATTTCCCAAACTTTCGTGTTCTGCGGCTAATAGCATTTAAATTTTAATGCCCAATTTCATAGAAACGCAAGTGAAAAGACTCGAGAAAACCAAAGTGCAGGCTACCCAAATTGATGACGAAGTTTCGTGTGCCGCCTGCATTTCATTTATAAACATATATTTTCGGCCTTAATTCTGTGCTTCCTGTGAATTAACGAGGAAACTAAAGTGTGCGCAAGCGAGAGAGCCAATCAACAAGTGGAAACCGAGAAACTTTCTTCGCAAAAGCCGGCTGATCACCAAAAGAGATCCTTTCTCTGGGACTTTTCTTCATCTCTGGAACTTCCTCACATTTCGTCCAACATGTAAGCCCCATTTTAATATGCAATTAATGTCCGCTGTTTGTTGAACAACAGCTTATTTGTTATTGTTTATTTATGGATTTATGCCGCCTACAAAATTTGCGATTGCACAATCATTTGGCCTTTGAATATGAACGTTTTTGCGTTTTTTTTTTTACCCTTAAGTCACTTTATTCGTGCCTTGAATAATCAATGAAGGTTCAGGGTTTTTGAGTTCCTTATGTATGCCCTACAACATAAAAGATAATATAATGTATGAAATAATGGTGTTTTCAAAATGTATTTGGTCCGAAGTTTTTTTAAGTTATCATAGTTAAATCCTCTCGGTATTTATTATTTTATCAGGGCTCATCATTATAACAAATGGATAATAAGTCATAAGATCACTTATGAAATATCAGTATCGGAATCAGCATACACAGTTAAAAATGAATATTCAGTTATTACAAAGGGTGTCTTTTGCTGTTGTATTACTAATAACTGTAACGATTGAAAAATATATTCAGGATTCCTTTAAATAGATTTGTTAAGCTAATAATAATATTAATTATTAACAAAAATAATAATTAAGAAATTAAGAATAAATAACAAGACACACAATTATTCACATTTTATCTTTAAACCACAACGCCACTAAATGTTATTTTTATATTATAAATATTTACATTATCTTTTGTATTTGATTTAGATAGTCTGTATAAAATGGTTTAGTTATTAAATGCGGAAATGGAAGATAAGATATAAATAGGGAATTACATCAGCTTTACAATACATTGATGGAGCCTCCCGGCCTATACATATGTATATACTCCTCTCAAGGGCACTTCAAGGATCTTTTTGTACGTAGTTCCCTTGAAGTCCATGCATATTTCTTTGTGCTGATTTCGCTGCAGTTTTCCCTCTGCCATTTATTGCACATTCATAGCGAATCACAGGGAACAAAGCTGAGTTGTTGTTTTAGTTATTGCTGATCATTTTTTTCGTTTTGTTTGCTAGTTTATTTTTAGCTTTTTGTCATAAAGCTTAACAAACAAACAAACAAACAAACCATCAACAGTAAAAAATAGCTGACACTAAGCGCGATTGGTTTTCGATCGGTCTAAAGTGTGAGGGTGTGAAGATTTGGTCGCAGATTGCTTAGAAGTATATATTGGTTAATTATAGGGAAAGGGTTCGCTTATCGGAGAAAACTCTATAAGTTGCACAACACTTGTTCAGAAGTGGGAATATAAATTGCAAATTTTTCCATGGCTTTGGAACGTTTCATTTCTTGAAAGCTAAGTCGCAATACGGAATCGGACTCCAGTTTTGAAAGGTAATACTTTCTTATCTAAGCTCTATGTGATTAATGGGGGAACTGTGGGGATTGGATTTGTAGTGCAGAAAACAGAAAAGAACTTTGTTGTTCAAAATAAAATGGGATTCTTTTCAAGGCAAAAAAAATATATATATTTTAAAGAAATATATTTTTCTTTGGGGAAGTTCAACAGCTTAACTATATTCGAAAAGTACTGATTTATTTTTGAAGTATAACAAACCATCATTAATAATATTTTATTTTCAAAAAATATTTAATTTAGTTTATATGAAAACAATAATTTATATTAGATTTTTTATTGTGCACCTAGTGTACAACCCTAATGATCATTATAGCTATAATTTCATATATAAGAAATTTGTTTATCTAGTAGTAAACAACAATTTCGGTTTGTTTGCTTATCCAAAATATCATTTGGTAAAGCCATTCCTCTCATTTATAGCTCGTAAAATAAACAGTTTGTCAAATTTTCGCATTTCAGCGGTATTTTTCCCCGATTATATGAGTTCTTCATCCCCACAACCATAACAAATTGAAATTTTAGCCGCTAAAACGATTTAGGTAGCATTTCTTTCTACAGACGTGCCCCTTTTCAGGTAGAATTTCGCGCATTAAGCTGCATACAAAATTTATGTCAAATTGACAAATTTTCAACAGTTCAAATCGACAAAGAAAAATACCACGCCAATCAATTTGCGAAAAAATTAACACCAATTTCATTTTTCATCAATGAAACTTGTTTGCTCGAAGAGAAATATACTCTTACTTAAGAGAATTTTATTGAATAGCTCTTTTTGTGCAAACATTACTCTTTATTTTTTTCCGATTCTCCCTGATCTTGAATCAGCTGGTAATGATTTTTCTTGACAACTTTGCAAATATTTAACGGGATTCGCACTAAACTTGAAAGCTTTCCGAACAAAGAATTATGGAAGTATCAACGAAAATGTTTAATAATTTTATATATTTGTCGGAGAACTAAATTCATCCCCTTGTAAATCGTCATTGTTGGTGAATTGATCGTTTGGTTCTTGATTGCCTGAACTTAATTCTGGCAAATGCAGCGAGTCTTCGATGCTTTTGTTGCTCATCATTCTCTCGTAAGGACCAAACACGTGTCTATCTCACGCCACGTTACAAAACCAGAAGAAAAAGGAGAGACCAGATCTAGCAACGCATACGAAGCCACACTCGGCCTCAGCTCGCAAACTGAGTCCCCATTCTACCAAAACTAATATCTAGTATATCTAGTATACCAGCACAACCCATGGTCATACCTGTCGAAATGCTTCACTACATACTCTCCGACACGGCCATTCTGACATAGACACGTCCTCGTGTCTACAATAAACCTCTCAGTTTCATTCCAACATTATAATTTTATTGAATACTTCAGAAAAACTTAACCAAGTAATCTCAAATTCATATAACAATCATAATGTTCTCTTATAAACCATTTCTTTCATTTACATTTTCACTCAACAGATCATTTTAACATTATCAAATTATAAATTAATCATTACAAATCATTAAATGATAATCCATGAAACAGAACTTGTCTTATACTAGCCAACTTCGTCCATCGCCAAACGCATTGGCTTCACGCATTCTTTTTTTTTTTCTTTCTCGTCCATCGCCCAACACATGGCTTCACGAATTCATTAACCACATCGCTCGTACATCGCCCAACACTTGGCTTCACGAATTCATTAACCACATCGCTCGTACATCGCCCAAAACTTGGCTTCACGAATTCATTAACCACATCGCTCGTACATCGCCCAACACTTGGCTTCACGAATTCATCAATCTCATTTCTAAAGCAACCTTCGTTCATCACCAATCACATGGTTTCACGACTCTCTTCTGTTTCAACAGACTTTTCCAACAGACTTTGTGCTTTATAATTTACATCAAGCTCTTCTGGAATTTGCACATCCGGTAACTTTCTCAAACTTTCGTGTGGATACTTGTAACGTCTATTGTTCTGTGTAGACTTTAGAACGTATCGATCTCCGTTCAAAACCTCGACCACCAAAAAGGGTCCTCTGAACTTTGGATCTAATTTTGTTTGTTGTCTCTCACTGTTTTTAAGTAACACAAAGTCGCCCACACAGAACTTAATTACCTTAGCCATATTCTTATTAAATTTTGTTTTCTCATACCTAGCGACCTCTTCCATGTTCTTAGCGGCTAGCTCTCTTAATTCGATCTTGTCAAATTCGGTTTCAGTATCGCCAATAGGAATCAACCCCATTGGACGCGCAATCTTACCGATCAAAAGTTCTAAAGGACTACACTTAGTGCTACGATTAACTGTACAGTTAAGGGCTAACTGAACGTCCCCTAGTGCATCTTGCCACGATCTAGGGCTTGTCTCAACAGCCGTCAACAGATTTTTAAGTGTGCTCATAACCCTTTCAACTTGGCCGTTGGCTCGACTTGCACCTGTTCCAATTAGATGTAATTGTATCTTTTGATTAGAACAAAATTGTGCAAACTTTGTACCCGTGAAGCAGCGCCCCTGATCTGCAATTAAACGTGTTGGCACACCAAAAATGGCAATCGAAGATTTCATTGCGCTTATACAAGTATTAGCATCCAAAGAAAAGGTGTGAAATAGATAAACATATTTAGTAAAAGCGTCGATTTGTACTATGATATATTCTTTACGATCACTTTTCCCACTTAGTTTTCCCGAAATATCTATGTGTACTGTGTGCCAAGGAATGCTAATTTTTGGAATTGGATGTAATTCAATTTGAGGTTTTCCAGACGTACTCTTAGACACTCTGCATGTAATACAGTTCTCCACAAATCTTCGGACATATTTTGCCATACCAGTAAACCAGTAATGATCGTACACCTTGTCTAGCGTTTTTTCCCAACCTAAATGCATTATAGACTCATGTACCTGATTTATAACTGACCAGCGGAACGTACGAGGAACTACAGGTAAACAACGAGTTCTGGAATGCCTCTGAATCTTTCTATACAAAACATTTGATCTCATTTCATAAGTGGCAACTAGTGCTAATGGTAAATCGTCATTCTTCAACTTAGTTATGATTTCTAATATTTCTGGATCCCTTTGTTGTTCCACCAGTATCCAGTTTTCTGATATTTCTGTTAAGTCAATTCGCTTCTCTTCTATTTTATTTGGTACAGACTTAATCTTTTGGCACACTGGATTCCTAGATAAAAAGTCCACGTGTGCCATGCGTTTACCTTCTCTGTATTCAATTTCGAAATCAAATGCCTGTAGAAACTCCCACCAACGATAAACCCTAGGTGACAATTCGACTTTATTTCGAGAAGATTTGATTGAATTACAGTCAGTAAAAACCACGAATTTTCTGCCATGCAGATAATGACGAAAATGTTTTACAGCATTCACGACAGCCAGCGTTTCCAATTCATAGGATATATATCTGGACTCACAGGAGCTAGTGGCTCTACTATAGTATTCAACCACGTGAGGCTTAGAGTTTATGCGGTGCAAAAGGATTGCCCCATACCCTATAGAACTGGCATCGGTATGCAACTCTATCGGAAACTGTGGATCGAAAATAATCAAAACAGGCTTGTTTGTTAATACACTGATGATTTTGCTGCGTATTTCTTCATGCTGTACTTGCCAATCAAAACTATTCTTTTCAGATGTGAGAAAATATAACGGCTTCAT